TCCGGTGTGTTCAGTGCGTGCGCCCCTGCTGCGCTAAAAATACGTGGAAATGCAGAATTCCAACCTGAAAATGCCGAGTTCAATCCGCTCACATCTGTTTAAAATAAAACTCGGAGGGTTTGGGGGTAGGGTTTGGGTTTTTAAAGAAATTCTGGTCTGGTATAAAACCTGGAAAGCCTCGCTGCTTCACTCTGGTTCATAGATTTATGAAAACGGAGGCGGTGGCACCCTCATAGACCTGCCCGGCCAGGTGGTCCCACCTGCCTTGGCGAGAAAGCAGCGTTTTGTCCCACAGGGCAGAAACCCGCCGGTTCTCTGGCTCTGAAGGCAGCGCCAAGAAAGGAATCCTCTGGACAGGTTAGCCCGAGTAACAGCAGCGTGGTGCCCTTCCACGCAGGCATCTGATCGCAGCAGCAGGAGGTCAAAAGAAGTGAGCCTGTCGCTGATTTTCCTCTTTGTTGATTTAGCCTATTTCCCCCTTACTTTTCATAGGCACATTTTCCATCCTGTCTCGTAAAGTGTATCTGCTTATATGCCTTTCCACCTTCCACTGCTTTCATGTGCTTTTACCGTTCAAACACAGAACATCTTAAATTTGATTTATTTTGATGAGTGAGCAYTGCAAAAGCCCAAGAGATATGTATAGGAAATTCTAGTGAATTTATGCTAGTTTGGCATTTTGGAAAACTACTGCCCACAGAACACATAGAGCACACTCATCAGGACCACAAGCATGCCCACATCAGTCAGCATGTAGCGCTGCTCTGGATGASTGTCTCTGGAAACGGGAAAAACAGTTTAGACTCCAGCTCAGTAGGTCTCTGTTCTTCCTGTAGGGATTTCTAGCGAAAGTGCTAATCAAAGGGGGCATAACACCACACCACCACTCCACCACCACCACCACCACCTCAGCTTAATTCTGCTTAATCCTGAGACACAGTCATCAGAGAGTAACAACCTTGAGAAGCTTGTCATCTGAACCAAGCAGCTTGGAGATAAAAGGAAATAAAGTCCTCCATGTTGTTACTTGAGCTATCTAGGTGCTGCAATGTCATGCATTTTTAGCTTTTTTTATATACTCTCCCAGAAGTGGAAAGCTGTTATATTTCTTTCTTCTCAAATTACATTTTTAAGGTGTGTAGAAAACAAGCTTCAGTATTAATTACAGCGATGGACTCTAATGTTTRTGTCCAAGGCCCACTCTGTAGTGCAATTACTATCTTAACCACCTTGAAAATATGTGTGCATAGTAGGGGGGGGAATACTTAGGACAGGTCTTCTGCTTATATGTCCTTAACTTTTGGATAAGGCACATTTGGATACTGCACATTTTACACTTGTACATATAAGGAGATTAGTAACCATTTGGGGTATTTGTAGTGCACTTGATTAGGTGGTTTGATCCAGGAATGTTGGTCAGCTGTGTGTGATTAAATGGTTTGAAAGGAATGCAGGTCAGCTCCAGAATACAATGTCACATAGGAGTATGGCCTCCCGAACAAACAGCCCTGATGAAGAAACAAAACAAAAAATCTTATTTTAATTTAGAGTCTATAAATACCATTCATATGCAAATACAGTTTGTAATATAAAAGCTTGCCAGGTCTCTTTCTATGTGTTATATATAATAGTATCTCAATTAGTACTGATAACCGTGGTTAAGTATGTACTTCTTAAATCAATGCTGAAAATATTGTTTAAATAAGAAGTGCTGATTAGGCTGTATGGCTGTAAAAAACATGTACATTACAATATACAACTTCAGTTCTTGCAAGAACTTCAGGATGGATTTTTACTGCCAGTTATATGGCCCCATCATTCTTTTTGTCTRAAATAAAATCACAGAAAATTAGCTCTCTTCTTGCTGTGCGTGCAGATACAAAAATTTGCTGAAATAGAAAAAGAAACTTGTCATTGATAATCCTATTCCCAGTGGAGTAAAGTGATTCAGAAATGTGTTGCCCATTGTTTTTCTACAATGTCTCTCCAGGATCATCAGTGGCTTGTTGAACCTCGACATTCCTACTTGGTGAAGCCAAGACCAGTATTTGTGTACGCTGCAGATGGCTGCGTGCATGTGAGAGCAGACTGATCTGTGGCCCACGCCAGGGGGCCATGGCAGTCAGCAGAAGTCACAGCATCCATCAGTGTTCACATCCATTGACTTTAATGAACACAAGACAAAACCCTCCATTATTTTTTTAAATTCTTCTAGGAGATGAATTTGAGGCAGATTTTAAAATGTGCTTGATAACACTGCTCATGAAGACATGACCACATTTTACTGAAGGCACAAAGCCCACAGAGACATGTCCTGCAGGATATTTTCTATTCCTGTGCAGGACCAGCCCTTGTGTCTCTGTGCTTGTTCCTGAAAATGCACAGCAGCCTTGTGAAGCAAAAGGCAGACAGGAACAGAAAGGAGGCAGCAGAGACCTGGAAGAGATGAGTCCGGCAACATACAGGACRTTGCAATTTTTCTCAGAGCATCAAGGCTGGGAATCAGTGTTGTACAGGGAACTCAAACAGTTGGTAACCCTAGGGACTTTGGGTAATTAAACTTAAAGGCAGCCTGTGAACTTCTAGATGGTGACCTACGACAGCTGATATGTGGTGTCTCCACCAAGGAAWATCACCAACTGTATTATAGTAGGCAAAACCTAACAATTACCATGTATCTCCTGATATAACAGAGMACAAGCTTTAGCTCAGTGAAATGATGAACCATGATGACTCACAGTCATTCAAGGCAGTCATTGGAACACACAGATGTTCTCTTAAAAAAAAAATTAAAAATATTAAAAACACATTTAGCTTTGAGAATCAGTAAGAACAACTACCATTTTTAGAGCAAGACAGAAATTTTGTACTGATTTCAAAGGAGTGAATCYAAACCAAGTGAATTGTTGCTGACTTTACCTTCAGATTCTGACTGGAGATAAACAGGAGACAGATCAAATCAATCCATGCATCTAACTTTAAAAAAGCGTCATTTCTAATTATTCGCACCTTCAGTCTACCATGCAATAAATATATCAAATATTTTGCTCAATTTGGAAAAATATTTTAATTCTTAGAAGCACATAAAAATAT